GAGTTGGATGGTTTCAAGTTGAAATTGTAAGAAGAAAAAAAGTGACACATTTTTGTTTCTATTCTTTTATTTTCTTTTTTTTCTTCTCTATTCTTTCTTGAGAACAGGAAATAGCAATAAGGTCTAGGTCCTATCCCAATCTGGTAACAAGTTGAAGTACTGATATCCATTCTGAAAATATTTGAAGAAAGGAATCTTGAAACTATCTACTAGTTGAGTGAAGTTATAATTTCAGAAAACATGGCTTGGAAAAGAAATTAACAATAGAAAACCTATATCCTTTCTGGTTAGAAGTCTTCAAGCATAAAGTTTCAAGAAATACTCTTCTGGAAGTACCCTTAAACATTTTTGGATATCAACTATTTCATTGGAAATTAAACAGTTTAACTGGCCACAGGTGGTGAAAAGTGAGAATTCATGAGAAGCTTGGGTTTTAAATTCACTGAGATAACTTTTTCAATGATAGTTAGAATAGACAATAGCTTTTTTTTTTTTTTCTCTTTGTCAAAAAAATTTCTTTTTTATTCTTTTTTCCTCTTGCATAGTTTCTACAAAAGGAGTGACACAATTTGGATTTATAGTCGTGACTGTAGAGATAATTTACAGATTTGTATTCTATTGGAAGTTTGAGATCTTAATTCCATCCTTTAGGGAAGCAATATATCACTCCATAAATCGTATCTAGAGGTTTCGGCTAAAGATGGGTGAGTTGGATCCAAAAATTTGTACTTTATATGTATTCTTGTGCATATAATGGTTCTTTATGATTTAATAAATATATGACACCAACCTGATTGTGGAATTAAAAAAAAAAAGTAGTAAACTAATCAATTATATTTGATAAGTAGTTAAACAATTATATGAGCAAAATTTTTACCATAGCAAATATTATAATTTAAATTTAAATATATTTTAAAGGTTTTATTTTCTTTATAATTTTATTTGAACATCAAGATATAATACAGTTAATATATCTATATTATTGGAATTAAATAGAATACGAATTTTCATTAATAAAAAAAATTTCTAATACAAAAAAATCAAGTTAAAAGATATTAAATTCTGAATTTAATATAATTTTAAAAGAAGATTTAATTATAAATTTATTCTTATATTTTACAAATAAATTTATTAATAATAATTATAATTTTACTTTATATTTCAAAAATCTAATAATTAATTTTAATAATTTTTTGATATTTTAAGTAGATATTTTTAGCTGTTTAATATTGTTTCAAATATGTAATAATTTTAATATTTATTTTTGAATATTTAATAAAAAAATAATTATTATCATATTATTATTATTATTACTATTCAATCAACAATTTATATATATTGAAAAAAAATTATTAAAAATTATTGTTTTTATTTTGTAATATAACTAAGATTAATTATAATTTTTTTGAAAACTTTTCTATAAAATATAATAGTTTAAAAACTTTAATAAACAAACTTTTTTTTTATTTATTTAAATATATCAATATGAATTTTTATTTTATTTAATTAGTTGGTTATTAAATATTAAAATATTAAAAAAAAAATAAATTTGCTTGTTCCATATTATATAGTATTGATTTTTAAGTAAACTTAAATATATAAAAATATAAATATATAAAAATAATTAATAGTTAATTTCAATTATTTTGTTGTGAATGAAGAAAACAAAAACTGTTACAATATGATTTTTGATTTTGTAATATACAGTATATAACAAGAAATTTGAATTTTAATAGAAGAGTGAAAAACAAAAAAAAGGTGTAGATTTGATAAGTTTGGATAATTTAAATAATTTTATTGATTAGAAGCAATATAATAAGTATAATGAATTTTTCAATAAACTTTATATATTTGATTATTTCACTTAGTTTTATATTTTTTTATGAATAAAAAATCAATTATTTTTTTTAGACAATCTTTGTAATGTGGGATTATTATTTTACAATTTGAAGTAATATCATCAATCGTTATTTTCCTGTAACAATATGTTTTATGATTTAGTAAATAATATAAAAAACATTGTTTATCATTAAATTAAAATAGAATTTAATATAGTTCTTTTAATTTCATACGCTAAAAAGAAAATAATTAGAAATACAAATAATAATAATTTATGTAAATTTTATTTATTCTATAATTTTATAACGTTGTATTTTGTTAAATAGATATACAGTAAGTATTTAAATATAACGAATAATTATTTTACAAACCGTGATCATAAATCTTTTGATAATAAAAAGGAATCGGCTAAATATAGGTTTAAGGCAAACTTTTCAGTTCGATAAAATCAAACTTTTAAGTTTAACCATATATGCAGTATTATGTTTTAAATTTGATTAAATTTTAAGAAAATATAATTGAGTCATATTTAAAATATTTTTAATTAGATTTGAAAAATTATAATACACATAATGATAATACTTGTCGGTTTTTTAAAATTATGTTAAACAAAAAATTTTTTTTAATTCCCTATTATATCCAAAATATCTATACGTTCAGCATCAATAGAATAATTATAGCTGCATGGATAACATATAAAACTGGTGGAATTATTTACATGGAATTATTTTTATATTTAAAGTTTTATCCAACATATTAATATTTTATTTACTAAACAGCTATTAAAATTTAAAAAATATTTAAAATGGCACAATTCAAACAAAACTCATATTTACAAGGATAGAATTAAAGAAGTAGACAAGAATATATAAAAAATTTTATAACATACCATTATCTAGTGAGAACATTAATTTATAAATTTCTTTTATTTCAATATTTAAGATAAACATTTTTAAAGGCTTTAATATTATTTTCTTTCAAGGACATAACGAAATTTTTTCTTGTAGCGAGACTTACATTTTATCCGAGATCGCCAACGGCTAAATGTCGCTAAATTGTATTGTTTGGTCAATATTGTAACATGGTCAATGGGAATTGACTTAATCACAGTAGTTTTTGTTTAAACCAATTGTAATTTTGTAGGGAAAGGATACATGGAAATTAACGCAAAAGTGAACGAGAGATAAAAGAAATTGTAACTTTCATCGAGAAGCTTGTCACATTTAACATGTTGAATAACTCTGACTACAACTCATTTAATTATGACATAGTCATGTCACGGAAAAATATTATTTGTATCCATTTTTAAGATTATAAAAATTACTAAATTGCTTTAAGGTAAAATTGAAATATACAGATAAGCCATAAATAACGAGATCATGCAACCGAATCGAACCTTTGCGAATTTTGATAAAAATTGTTTAAAGAATAATAAAATTAGTTTCGATCGTTGGTGTTACAGCTAATCGACAAGTGTGTCGTCATCTTATAACGGATTTCGCGTAACCTTAAAAGGATAAAAATCAAACACGCGTACTTGACATACATATGCACATACTGTATATGTAAGATATTCTAATTTTTTTTTTTCGACTCATTTCTTCTATTTATCAAATATATATTGTATCTGTCATTCACATTTCCCATCTTGCATAAACATTCCTCATTATAATTATGATTTTACAGTACTTTGCATACCGATCATTGATTGTGAGCCTCAAGATGTAATTGTTAATTGCAATCACGACCTTTAATTCTAATCGAGCACATTTTTAATTACAAATTACTTTTCAAAAAAATAAAGAAGAAAAATATTTAGTTACAAGCAAAGAATAAATATTTTGATACATTCCGACACTCGAACATAATAAATGTTACAAATCACGTGCACGATGTCACGTTATCAAGATAGGCATTAACGAAATGAACTACGTACTGTAATTATGTTTTCTCATGCCTCAAAGTACTCGCTGTTACTCGAATTTTGATTATACTCCAGGAAATAAAACACCCTTCGGATAATTATCCAAAAAATTTACCTTCTAATTATATTTCCACGATGCCTGGTTATTCGTTTTGCCGCAAACATTATCCTGAATATTCTTATACCCGAAATAAACGATCACACAAATATAGACGCAGTACATGGACATAAATGCGAAAAGATTTTTAACATAAATCCCGCGAACGCTATGCCCTTTTCATCCTTTTCATTTATCGTTATTGTAAATAGGGAAAACCAACTTGCGATGTGTGACGAACTCTTAAAGATTTTTTTTATTATGCATACGTGAAACATCTGAACCGGTTCACAATTTGCACTCTTAGGGAAGGTATGAATGACAGTTTATATTTATCTCTGATTAATCAGATATTAAAGTTTTTGATATTTGAAAACCTTGCGATAGTAAATGATCTGTCTATTCCCAAATTAAGAATTGATCATTATACAGTATATTATTGTACCGTATATGCAGTATCTTCACAATACGTATTCAACTTTATTTTTATTTCTCATTTTTTAACAAAAAAATCTATTTTAAGTTTAGGTGGTCATTATACTGTACTTAGGATCAAGAGAATTGATATGCTGCAATGAAGGTCACTGGTCACACCGCATATACTACTACGGTGTGGTGAAAGAAAGCGTATTTGTGTTTACTTTGAATGACAGGTATTCAGGTTTCCGAATGAATGGGGCAAAACAAAGGATTTCAAATCCGGAAAAAAACCCATCGATTACTAAATGTTCGTGTTTAATCGCGAAAATTCATTTTTCTCTAGACCGTACTTACTTCTGACAATCCCATTCAAGAATTACTATTTCTGCCAAAATTAATAATCCATTTTTAAAATAAGTAATGAGAATTAAAAATTTACAAAAAAAAACAATTAATCATCGGGAAACAGAGAAACCATTACTGCATCGTTGTTTAGAAAATTACAAATTAATATTTGCTTATCTTACGCGTTCGTTCCTATTTTACTATCAGAATAATCCGTGCATGACCTAATGCCACAGTTCCCTTTCTATTCTCTTAGATATATAAGAGCGCGTTTTTGCCCTCAGAAGAAATTCAAGTCAATTAATTTAATTTAATTACTTCTTGGAAAATTTCCTATTCTTTTATTGTAATATACATTGTATATATATATTTAAAATGAAGCCTGTTACATTTCTAACCTTCCTGGTAGTTGCTCTTTACATCTTCTGCATGAACGCGGTTGGTGAAAAAGTGCGCGGAAAATACTTTGATCGTTTCTTTCTGATTATTTTTGAAAACACTGACTATGCCGAAGCTGTCAAAGACCCTTACCTCAAGTCATTAGTGAATCGCCCAGATGGTATCCTTCTTTCCAATTTTTATGCGGTTGCTCACCCATCCGAGCCAAATTACATCGCACAAATTTATGGTTCCACTGTGGGGATATTAGATGATGCCGATTACAGTATACCCGGCGAGAATCTGGTGGACCTGCTCGAAAAGAAAAAGATCTCGTGGAAGTCCTACAATGAGAACTATCCAGGAAATTGTTATCCGTACTCGTTTGGTCCGGGTAACAATTCTTACGCGAGAAAACACAATCCCTTTATCTCGCTTGAAACGATCTATAAAAGTCCCGAACGTTGCGCAAAGATAGTAAATGCTAGTCAACTTGACATTGACATAAAAAAGGACGATGTCCCGCAATTTTCCTATTACGTTCCAAATCAGCTAAATGATGCACATGATACCAACATGACTTTCGCCATGGGTTGGTTTAAGAGTTGGCTAGAGCCAAAGCTCAAGCAACCTGCTTTTACCGAAAATACATTATTCTTTATAGTCTTTGACGAAGCGGAGTCAAAAGTCACTAATCAAATTTTTGCCAGCCTTTTTGGAAGTCCAGTCAAGCCCAATCCAACACATAACGATAGCACCCCATACACCCATTATTCGGTCCTCAAAACTGTCGAGGATAATTGGAATCTTGGAAGCCTTGGGAGAAACGATACTAAGGCCACCCCATTTACCAAATATCTTGTTTATCCAAAAAAAGATAAAGAGGAACACTAGATTTGAAAACGGGTGTTTGTCATATTTGATTATTTTACTTAATACGTATCTCTATGACGTGAACACAAATCCTGTCAAAAAATTTTATTTATTTATCCTTTTAAGGTTAATCCCGAAGATCCATTTTTAAAAATCAATTTTTTCTACCAATGTATTTAGTGTCAAGCACATCGTGTTTGTTCCGTTTTTACCGTACTGCACGAATTAATAATAAATACTCATTGTACTACTACTGTATGTGTAAATCCTGATTGTGGGGAAGTGACTAACTGCATGTTGAGGTTACAACACATTTACTGTGTACGGATTCGGTTTGCAATATGTTTGTTCCGTGAACTTTATTAACATTTAAATGGCAATACAGTAACAACAATACCTGTTCAATTTGAATTGAAAAATTGAAAAATCAACCCAATATAGGTAATTATTTTTGTAGACGGAGTTGTTTCCCGAGCACGCGTCTTGGTGATATACTGTACGTACGTATTTATTTTGAACATAATGATCGTGCTATCCTTATCTGGCAAATTTGAAATTGGAGATTTGTGATTTGTAATTATAAACACAGTATACCATTTTTTTTCTATGAAAAAAATGTTTCCGTAGCATTATTACTATCGATGGCCTTTACATCATCAACAACAAAAAGCAAGCATAACTTGACCTGTAAATTATAATATGTAGTATATGCAATATTTTATTGTAGTAAAGAATTATGTAAACCTGTTGCCAAAGTACAAGCTCATCACTGATTGTATTAGGAACTTGGCACATGATAAGCGAGTATATTCGAAAATGGGACTGGTTTATTGTTAACAGTTGGATCTTTATTAGATAATTGCTTTCACTTTGTTTATACCGGATGTCTCTTATTCTTATTATTAATTAATTATAAACTTTTACATATACAGTACTATACACATATATGTTTTATTGTTTAATATTTTATTCTAATTTATTGTTAATTATTTTCTGTAAAACTTATTTAGCAAACTTAATATGTTATGATACTTCTTATGATTTTTAAAGTTGTCATGTTTGCTTATAAATTAATGAAAAAATCATTTCAATAGTATAATGAATTTATAAAATATAAATCATTTAAATAAATTATATTGTATTGTATTTGGATTTGTATTTACAATGTGTTTAAAACTTTTTAGAATTTTTATTTATCTGTTATTCAGAAACTACTGCATAAATATCAATAAAAAAATATATTAAAATAAAATTTAAAACTCAAAAATTACAATGATATCAAATTTATATAAAAATATTTTTGAAATTAAAATTTTTTAAGTATTAAAAATTGATTATAAATAAGAATTTTATCAAGATTATTATAATTTTACGAATTTTAATACCATAAATTTAAAAATTTGTTAATTTAGTCTGTAGATTTTTTGCTTTTTTTAAAAAATTTTTAATTTATAAATTTTTGAAATTTAAAATTTAAAATAATTTTTTTATAATATTAAAAATAAAATATATAATTTTATAACTTTGTAAATTTAAATAAAATAAATCTAAAAGTTAATTAATACTAGCAACAATATTAAAAATTTTTATAATATATTGTATATTGAATAGTCAATATAAATACATTTGAATAAATAAATATATACAATACATATTAAATTTTAAACCATTTAAAATTGCAAGTTATAAATTTATAAATTTTATTTTATATATACAAATTTTGTTTTCTTTTTACATCTTAATTTATAAATTAAAAAATTTTAAAATAATAAAAAAAAACAAAGATTTATTTTTAAGAATTAATATTGCATTTAGTAATTTATTTTATTTTAAAAATTATATGCAAGTTTTTTTATTATAAGATTATATAATAATTTAAAAAATTTTAATTTTAATTTTAATTTTAATTAATACAATAATCAAATTTCTATTTTAAAAGATTTTTACATTTTATTAAATAAAACTTTATTATTATTATTATATTTCTGTTTTTATAAATTTATATATCTTAATAAACAAATTCAAATATTTTTTATTAAATTTTAATATATTAAACATATTATAATTTTGTTATTTCAAATATACAGTATATTGTTATATTTGATTTTTATACAATATTTTTATTATTTTTTACTTGATTTTATTATTATTTATTCTTAAAATATTTTTTATTCTAAAATAATTTTTATATTACAATATGTCATTGTTGAATATTATTATTGTTATTCTAAAATATTTCTAATTTTATTATTTTTCATTATTTATTCATTTTTATTTTTATTTTTTTAAAAGCCTATTCAGTAAATAAATATCATTTCATTGTATATAACAAAATATATATTATAAAAAAACAATACTTTATATATATTGTTGGGGTTATAACGGCGAGTCTGTCGCTACGTCACGATCGCCGATCGTGTAACGTCGAAAGAGGCATGGAGATGTGGCACGAGGTAAGTGAAAGTGTTAGATAATAGT